CAGCAGCAACGACAGCAGGGCAGAGGTCAGGGCCAGCAGAACAGACTTGAGGCACCACCAGCAGCTCAGAGGACCGAGGGTCAGATTCGAGCAGTTCAGGATGTTCCTCAGGGGCAGATTATCCCATATTCTCCACCACCATCAGCAGAGCAGTCCTCAGCCACGGGCAGGGTATATGCAGTAGTTCCCCGTGATCCTGGAGCTAGCAGAGCCGTAGTGGAGGGTGTCATTCTCCGTGGGGCGCGCCGGTCCTCTTCGTGAAGAAGAAGGACGGTAGTATGAGATTATGCATAGATTATAGAGAGTTGAACAAGGTCACTATCCGGAATAGGTACCCACTACCTAGGATTGATGACTTGTTTGACCAGTTGCAGGGGGCGCAGTATTTCTTGAAGATTGATCTTCGTTCTGGCTATCATCAGTTGCGGGTTCGGGAGATGGATATTCCCAAGACCGCCTTTCTTACTCGATATGGTTCTTTCGAGTTCTTGGTCATGCCATTTGGGTTGACCAATGCACCCGCGGTATTCATGGATTTGATGAACCGGGTTTTTCGTCCCTTCTTAGATTAGTTTGTGATCGTTTTCATCGATGATATTCTTATTTACTCGAGGTCGGAGGCGGATCATGAGGAGCATCTACGGATAGCATTGAGGACTCTTCAGGAGCATCAGCTGTATGCCAAGTTCAGCAAGTGTGAGTTTTGGCTTTCAGAAGTTAGATTTCTTGGCCATGTCATCAGTCGAGAGGGTATAGCAGTGGACCCGGCTAAGGTCACGACAGTCCTTGATTGGGAGCTACCGAAGACGGTGACAGAGATTCGCAGCTTTTTGGGCTTAGCTGGATATTATAGGAAGTTCATTCAGGACTTCTCGAAGATTGCGATGCCTATTACGCACCTTACGAAGAAGGGTGTACAGTTCATATGGAGCATGGAGTGCCAGAAGGCCTTTGATATTTTGAAGACTAAGTTGACTACAGCGCCGGTTTTGACCATTCCGAGCAGCGACAGGACATTCGTCGTATATACAGATGCATCGTTGGCAGGCTTAGGAGGTGTATTGATGCAGACTCAGAGGGTAGTAGCTTATATCTCACGGCAGTTGAGGGTGCATGAGCAGAACTACCCCACTCATGACTTGGAGTTAGCAGCAGTGGTGTTTGCACTGAAGTCATGGAGGCACTACTTGTATGGAGTGCAGTTTGAACTATTCACAGACCATCAGAGTCTGAAGTACCTCTTTTCTCAGAAGGAGCTCAATCAGAGGCAGAGGAGGTGGATTGAGTTTATCAAGGACTACGAGTTCGCGATTCAGTATCATCCAGGGAAGGCGAATGTCGTAGCAGATGCTTTGAGTAGGAAGCGTCGGCATCGGGTGGCTGCTTTGAGGTGTTCCTTGTACAAAGATCTTATCACTCTTAGCCAGTTTGATATTAAACCCGAGATTGGAGGAACCAGTGCATTCTTGGGAGCTATGTCAGTGCAGCCATCTTGGAGTGACAGGGTTGTCAGAGCTCAGTTGGAGGACTCTTGGATTCAAACCCGTAAGGGGGAGATTTCCAAAGAGCCTAAGGTGGACTGGACCATTGGAGCAGATGGAGGATTACGGATGAAGGGTAGATTGGTCATGCCAGCCAGTGCAGAGTTGAAGAGGGAGTTATTTGATGAGGCGCACCGTACTCGGTACACAGTACATCTAGGGACTACCAAGATGTACAAGGACCTGAAGAGGCATTTCTGGTGGAGTGGTATGCGGAGAGAGATTGCAGACTATGTGGCTAGATGTTTTACCTGTCAGCAGGTGAAGGCAGAGCATCAGAGACCGGCAGGGACACAGATATTTCTATGGATTTTATTGTGGGGTTGCCGAAGTCGAAAAAGGGGAATGATTCTGTTTGGGTCATAGTGGACAGATTGACGAAGTCAGCACATTTCATTCCGGTGAGGACCACTTATACAGCCGAGACTTATGCGAGGATCTTCATTCGGGAGAGAGTTCGACTTTACGGGGTCCCGGACACGATCGTGTCGGATCGAGGATCGGTTTTCACTTCACATTTTTGGAGGAGTTTCCAGGACTCATTTGGCAGCACACTATCTTATAGCAGTGTATTTCACCCGCAGACGGATGGTCAGACGGAGAGGGTGAATCAGGTGTTGGAGGACATGTTGCGGGCATGTGTCATTGACTTCCAAGGCAGCTGGGAGGATCATATTCCATTGGTAGAATTTGCTTATAACAACAGTTATCAAGCGACGATCGGGATGGCTCCGTATGAGGCATTGTACGGGAGACCCTGTAGATCACCGATATGTTGGGCAGAGCCAGAGGACAGCTTGATGCTTGGGCCAGAGCTTGTGAGGCAGACTACTGAGAAGGTAGCATTGATTAGAGAGCGGATTCTAGCCGCTCAGAGCCGGCAGAAGAGTTATGCAGATAAGAGGCGAAGACCCCTAGAGTTTCAGATTGGGGATTTGGTTATGCTGAAGGTATCGCCTATGAAAGGCGTGCAGCGATTCGGGAGGCGAGGGAAGCTTGCACCGAGATATATTGGACCTTTCCATATTTTGGAGCGTATTGGAGCGGTGTCATACAGACTAGATCTTCCAGCATCTATGTCTAGTGTACACAATGTGTTCCATATCTCTATGCTCAAGAAACACTTGCATGATGAGGAGCAGCGGCGAGTGGTGGATATACCGGAGATTGAGCTTCGAGATGATTTGACTACTATTGAGATCCCAGTGTCTATACTTGCTAGAGAGGACAAGAGGCTCAGGAACAAGGTGATTCCATTGGTGAAAGTTCAATGGAACCGAAGTGGAGTTGAGGAAGCTTCTTGGGAGCGCGAGGAGGACATGCGGCGCGACTACCCACATTTGTTTGATCAGGTAAATAAATTTCATGACAAGTACCTTATAATATGTTGATATCCTTGGTTATATATAATTAACACTAGAATGAGAATACCTTCGCCACATTCTTAATCTTTTGGAACACATGGTATATGTATGGGGGGGTTCCTTGTTTGGATTTTTCACCCGACGTACTAGTTCCACGAGATTAGGGCTCGAGCGAGGATGTTATCATTTTAGACGGTTAAGTATAAATATCCATAAACGCTCATCTAGAATCTCACATTTCGAGATGAGTATGATCTTCAAATTTCGAGGACGAAATTCTTTTAAGGGGGGAAGAATGTAGAACCCCGTAAATTTATTAATAAATATATGGAGTTATTAGTGGTAAACATTTCTTTTGCGATGAATAATCATATATAGGCTAAATAAATGTGATAAATAGTGTTTGGGAGCCTAGCAAGAATTTCTATGTTAGAGAAATCAAGGCGATTGATCAGCATGTGATAGAAGGCATAGCAGACAGTTGTTCTGCTGTGCGGTCGACCGCGATATGCGCGGCGGTCGACCGCACAGCAGTCGGGCACACAGGAGACTTTTCTCCTGCTGTGCGGTCAACCGCGCAAGGCGCGACGGTCGACCGCACAGTAGGCAGAGAGTTTTCCTGTGTTGGGTCTTAATGGGTTTCGGGTCGGGTTCGGGTCGGGTTGTGGGGATAGTATATATACTATTACACCCAAGAGAGCCCCATTTCTCATCTGAAATCAGAACCCTAGCCCCCTCTCTCCCCTCAAACCCTAGTTCCTCTCTCTTTGGTGATTTGGAGGAGCTTTGGAGGGCTTTTCAGCGGATTTTCGGTGGATTCAGCGAGAGGGATCGTCTTCCTCCAGATCTAGGGCTTCGTTTTCGTCGTAGGCGAGTAACATCTCGCCCAACTTCACCCCTGTTTGTTTTATGCTTAGATTGGAGTTTTAATCCGGTTTTTATTTGAAGCCCAAATTGTATTTTGTGTAGATACAGTAGATCTTATGGCATAAGGTGCAAAAATCATATATTTTAGTGTTAAAAAGTTCACTAATGATGTTTAATTAATGAGATCCTGATCTGAAACATTTTTATGAGGATTAAATCTAATTTTACAGTTTAAGAACTTTTAAAATCATGTTGATTTAAGTTGGGATTTTTGTTAATGAAGTTTTAACTATTTTAAACTTGTTTTTGACTGCCATACATTACTATTGTATTGCTAGGATTAGTTGGTTATTGATAACCTCAAAAATTGAAATGAGATTTGAGCTGACAGAAACCCAGACGGGGTTTCTGTCCGATCAGCGGTCGACCGCAGATGACTCAGCGGTCGACCGTCGCGAGGTTTTTGTCAGCAGAATGTTTCTGCTATTTGAGCGGTCGACCGGAGTGACCTCTGCGGTCGACCGCCGCTCAGTTGTGAGCCCAGTGACTTTCGGCTCTGCGAGCGGTCGACCGGAGTGATCTCCGCGGTCGACCGCCTTACAGTTTTTTTTCGCCTGTTGATCTTTACTGTTCTTTTTCGTATACTTGAGAGTTCACCTCTTATGCCTCTCACTAGTTTGTGATATTAGTGACTCACCCACACATGGGATTGACCGTGATACGAATTTAGACCCGTACTTTGAGACACGTGCAAAATTAAGACATGTGTATGTATCTCCACATATGCTAGTGATAATTACATTTCTTCATTCATAGTCCACGTGTTGGGCAATGCATTATATTGATCCATGTGTTGGATACTTACCATCTTGGTCCATGTGTTGGACATGCATTCTATTCAGTCCATGTGTTGGACCTGCACCACTGTTAGTCCATGTGTTGGACATTTTGCTAAACCTTGAGCATGATACACATTTGAGTTTTGGAACACGACAGTTTGACACCGTTAAGACCTAGAAATCTCATTCTAGACGGAATTTATTTTTTTAATTTTTTTAATTTTTAAAAAGCATTCTAGACGGAATTTAAGCATCCTAGACGGAATTTCCGTCTAGGATACTATGCTACAGTGTTTTTTTTTTTTTTGTAGAATCTACTTTGAGTGCATGTACACAATATTAAACAATAAATTATATTCATATCCAACACAATCTAATTATATTTCAATATCAAATTTCATTATATTCAAATAATACATTCACCAAAATAGTAGAGAGATACATAAATTATTTACAAACTTTTACATAAATTATTTACAATGGCTATGACACTGCAAAAGCTTCTTCAACTCCTTTCCTGTACATTTACTCATGCCCTCTTCTTCTCATTCTTCACCTTCTTCCTCATCATTCTGAGCGTAAGCAGGAACTGAAATTTAAGCTCCTATAAACAATTGATTTCCATATCAAAAATCGTACCTAAAATTCTTAAAAGGAACACAAAATATAGGAAGAGCTAGAGAGTGTCACCAGTGCCAAATATCTGCTAAAATTCTTAAAAGATAATTGACATATCTGCAAAAAAGTTAATCGTTTAAGCATTAGAACCAGTTCACAGTTCACATATATGGATCGAAACTGAAGGAGAAAGACAGAGACAATAGCAACATACTACTCAAAGATAATGAGCATAAAAGTATCAGTGCCAAATTCCTAATATTACCCCTTCTCTTCATTGATTTTATCAAAACGAATCCCACAGGGGCAGGTCATTCTGTTGCCCTCTGATGAAAGAATGACAATCCTTCTTCAGTATTACTTTTACGGGATGTATCCTTCATGTTCTCCAACAAAAGATTTGTTAGAAGAAAATGACCTGAAAAACAAGGCAACAAAGTGAATGATGCACAAATAGGATATATTAATCTAAACTGCAAAACTAAAACTTCCATCCTCATATAGTTGAAAAAAAGGTAAGTACTCAGAAACATGCAATTGACTCGAAGGAAACGATATGACCAGTCCAATAGATGTTTTGATATGATTTTTGGACAAATATCCAAACAAATAAGGCTCACAGACTTATCTTCCAAAATCAGTTGCGTAGCAATAACAGTTCAGGAGCAACTCAATATAGGGATAGACAGCCTTTGTTCGCACTAACAAGAAGGAAAGAGTTGAAATATTTTTCCACTTTAGAATTTATGTTTTGAGGAGATAGTAACTCAAAAATTAAGATCTCATCTTTATGTGCTTCAGGAAATATCTATTATTCTTTATGTCCAGCGGTTCCGACTTTCTGTACCAAGGATGAGCCCTTTTAACTGTGAACTACATACCAATATGATTTGTTGCAAACTGGAGCTCTATTCCATCATGCGAGAGCAAGTAGGGAGTAGCCATAATTCCTGCATTGCCTCCTGAAACACTGAATTGCCTCCTGAAACACTGAATTGCGAAGAACATCAACGTGAAACACTGAATTGCCTCCTGAAGAATTTGATATCATAAAAAACCATAGACTCACAACATTACCATGTGTGTAGTATATCAAGCTTTTCACAACATTCACCAATTGTTTGGTTTCATTTATCGATGAATCCATAATTGGTTGAATTTTTTAAATAAAAGAAAATAGGACTTCTGAATTTATAGAGCAGAATGGAAATTATGCTCCAGAAGCATGGATTGAGAAAGCCAAGGGTTATTCATATAAAAGTGTAGGATGCCCATACAGAACTATAGCTAAAAGAATTTAGAGGATCTTTAAGTTTAAGCACAAATATAGTTTTAAAGTACCTTCTAGCTCAGAGATCTGTCAATTTGCCCAGCAACATATGATGCCAGACCAGAATCATCAGCCTGCACAATAACAAAACCAACTTAGAACATAATATCAATAAAGCGGAAAGATCTGTAACTGTATAGTGCAATTCAATGTTCACCTTGTCCATCTTTCCAAGGTCCAAGCCCTCAAAGTTCTTGAGTGTTAGAAATGGAGGCAATGTGAATCTGCAGAAGAAATATTATAAAGAGATACAAATTGTTGAAATGAGGTAGCTTTCAAAATTGAGAAAGTGGTTAATTTATGTAACCACCTTGATATCTTTCAAGTTCGTTTGAGCTTTAATGCCTAAAAATTTCAGCGAAAAGGTTTGAGACGAGAAAAATTCAGAAGTGATCAGACACGACAACTAAATTGGAGAGAACATCAGTCTATAGAGCCAAAGTCAGGATGATTAGAGTGAGCAAGAGCCTCTAGAGAACCGTGTGACGACAGGAATACTATCATGTAACCCTACAATACACATGAAGTCAAAGGAAAATGGCAAAATGACATATGGCCATCAAGGCTTACAAAAATTTGAATGTCTGACAGCCATCATGTAAAAAAATGAGGGTGCCTGAAATTAGAATATCAGGAACAACAAAGGGAACAAAAAGAAATTCTCAATTAATTTTCGAGTACATCAACTTTAGCAGCGGGTATTCCCTTCACAATTGCTTCTTTAACAGTATTACCAGCAGCCAAGTTTCTCACTCCCATAACAACATGGACACCACGCAGTGCAAGAAATATGTCACTCCTCAAACATTTATTTTATCCAAATCACAATAAGATTAAATTTACTTTCATTTAACTAAATATAAGATTAATTTTTTTTCTCAGCTCAGCAAGATTAATCATCAAATTTGGCGAATTCAACCAAGAACAGAGATTTTTACCGTGGATCTCCTTGGGACTTGTTCTCGATCCCGCTACCCACGAGCTAGGGCAAAGCATCGCCGACAAGCTCGAAACAATCCCGACAAAATACAACACCATCACAAACCCTAGCACCCAAGGCATCAGCATAATCCCAATCACGAACGTCACCGATCCAGAAAGCATCATAGCGAACGAAACCCCCAGCAAGAGGGAAGCGAACGCCGTCGGCGTCATCTTGCTCCGCCTCGCGGACGGAGATCTCGGCACCGCCTGGATCCGCCGTGGCGGAGGACCGGGAGAGGTTCCTGAAATGATAACAAATTTGGGAATGAAATTATTCGTTTTAGGGGGGAACGGAGGGCTTTCGCGGGTTTATTGTGTGAATTTTTTAAAAAAAATTGGTCGGAAATTTCTAGACGGAAATTTCCATCTAGCTGAAATGATAACAAATTTGGGAATGAAATTATTCGTTTTAGGGGGGAACGGAGGGCTTTCGCGGGTTTATTGTGTGAATTTTTTAAAAAAAATTGGTCGGAAATTTCTAGACGGAAATTTCCATCTAGCATATTATTCTAGACGGAAATTTCCGTCTAGAATATTTGGTTATTTAAAAAAAATAAAAAAAATAAAGGAACCGTCTAGGATACTATTCTAGACGGAATTTTCCGTCTAGAATGTTTTATTCTAGACGGAAAATTTCTGTCTAGTTTAATACATTCGAGACGGAAAAAATTCCGTCTAGAATATTCCGTCTAGAATACATGATTTTCTACTAGTGAATAAAGGGAAGTGCTCCAACATAAAGAAATTTACTGTAAGCTGACAACTCAGACAACTTCGTACTGCGGACAGAAACAGCATGGGCCTCAATATCACGTTGAAGTTTCTCTCGAACTTTGGAAGCATCCCAATCCGCATGCTTAATTACCACATCTAACAAAAGATATAATCAGTCTACTTGTTTGTATTGGCTTGACTATAATATGTTTAAAAAAACTAAGCTATTTAAATCAAAGCCCACATAAAGAAAGGGAATGCAGATAGTTATGAAATTGTAAAGGACACAACAAATAAGCAGAGAGAGAAAAACCATAATTGGATTATAATTACAAGTCATTCCGTATGTCAAAAGTTCAGTGTAATAGTGAACCTGCGGGGATGGATTTTCTAAAAAATGATACCACTATGGTAGTCAAGGGTCCCTGCCACTACACCAAACTCCAAAGTTGTGGTGACGCTCTGAGGGTGGAGCGTTATACTTTTATGCTCTACCAAGAGTTAACCTTATTTATCAAATATATACATCTTATACAAGAAATATGCTTGCATATGGTTCTTTAAATTACTTGAAATATAGGATTCATGTAATCGACCCCAAACATTTGGCATAAAGGCTTTGTGCCGTTGCTGTTATATTTCTATGGCTCGGTGGTCAAAGAAAGAACAATAGTCCCAAGTAATATAAAAGATTTCATTGTTATAAATTAATAATTAATAGAAATAATCACAAGGGAACTCAAAGTAGATCTACCTTCCTTCCCTGAAGAATGCTTGAAATTTTGTTGCATAATAAAATTGTCCATCAGACAATTTAATAGACAACTACTACTTTTCCTACATAGCCATCATTTTGAAAAAAAATAATAATGAGTGATTTATATACTTATCATAATTAGAATCAATGAAGTTATTAAGAAAGTTGGTTGAGTGCACAATGTATATAACCATTCAGACAGGTAAAGGTAATATATGTATCAGAAAGATAAATTTTAATGTGAAATATTCATGTGTATAAAATGTTCTGTTAAAAATATAAAGCATCTCGACTTTCTAGCAGTTACAGACAAAAATATTCATGTGTATAAAATGTTCTGTTAAAAATATAAAGCATCTCGACTTTCTAGCAGTTACAGACATGCTAAAGGAGATGTTACCAGCACACCCTTCAAAATATAAAGCATCTCGACTTTCTAGCAGTTACAGACATGCTAAAGGAGATGTTACCAGCACACCCTTATTCAAATTCATCCATGCAAGACTGAGTACAGGAACTAACAGAAGTTGCAAAACCTCTGCCACTTTTTAGTGACTGCTACATATACTTTTACTTACAAAAATGAGTTTAAATCGTCGACTTACTTTAAATGACTGCATAAGAGAGTCAACAATGGCTCATCCTTCAGGTATTCGTCTAATTTTGAGACAATTTCTTTTACTGTAAGACCACATAACAAAACAAAATTGATTATAAAGGTAAAATATTGAAGTAGTTAATCCGTGATATGACATTCATTTACAAGATATCAAAAGACTCAGAATTTTCACGTAGTTTGCTTGATTTTCCTATCAAGAATTTCCCAATCATGCAACCATCACGTCAAGTGCTCACAAGTCATAACCAAACAAAACATAAACATAAATGGCATTATATATAGTTAATAACTTAATATTCTAGTAACTGTATTAGGGAATTACAACTTTGCTTGAGTATTATTTTTTACTTGAAAGTGGTAAAAGGATTTAAAGTTCACCTGTTTTAATGCGCAAAGAAATATATGATGACATATTAATAATTACATCATGAAAATGAATCGAAATTAAAAGGGGAATGCGCAAAGAAATATATGATGACATATTAATAATTACATCATGAAAATGAATCGAAATTAAAAGGGGAAGAGGGGTTCTGCTTTGGTACCTAAAATCTGAACGAATGAACTAACTTGTGCATGAAAGGACTGCATCTTTAAAGTTGTCAGTTTCTCATGAATTTCATAATTTTAATAAGGAAGAAATCCAATAAAGAAAAGCAAAAGGGATCTCCATACCTATACAAAACAGAGAAATGCATCCTCCAAACAACCAGTATCCACAAAATCTGAACAGGCTCACAACCAAGCTCCACAACCAAGCTCACAACTAGCAATATAAAACCAAGCTCACAACTAGCAAACCAAACTACAACAGGTACACAAGATACACCCACCAGCATCCTCCAAACAAGCACAAAAGCAACCAAAAACCCAACAATGAACATGATACACCAACCAGGAATATAAAACCAGCCACACAAAAATGTAAATAGATTATATACCAACCAGTCACACAAAATGAACCAGGAAACACCATCGCGCACCAACAATGAATAGGAAACGTATAAAATTTCCTGGTTGCTAAAATCACTTAGAAAATTAGTGAAATGTGCTCAGAATCTAGTCAATATCATCATTGTTAGCCATCCGGTGCAATATCAAGTGATATTGCAGGTTGCTAATCTCAGAAATTTTAACAATCATCATAGCCTAAAGTAAATAGTCACCAACGTGTTATTATAAGCAAGTGAAATAACATCATATGTAACAAAAATAACATCATGAAGAGATTGGTGAAATCCTCATAACCAGGCTCACAAACAGGATCCACAAAAAACAACAGTTAGAGAAAAAGGCATGGTAAACAGGCTCACATCCAGCCAATCAAACTAAGTCTCCAATGTGTTATTATAAGCAAGTGAAATAACAACAGATGTAACAAAAGACTTCAAAGACTCCATCATAGACTCTCAATCCATGTGGTTGTGGTCTAGACAATGCATCCTGAAGAATCCTATAATTATTTGCAGAGCCCTCCTAACCTGCTAGAACATATGTAAACAACTTGTTTGGGGTGCAAGTTGCAAGCACATTCTGTGTAACACATTTGCGCCCTCGAAAGCGTGCAACAAGATTAATCGGAAGCATTGCATCAACATGAGTCCCATCTATCATTCCAATGCAATCCTATAATACGTGTATCACACCTAAATTAAAATTAAACTTCCATTGATTATACATTTAAATGTGCTTAAAGTGTAGATATACCTTGAAATAAGGGTAGATAGCGGGTTGTTAACGATCTCTTGGGGAATGTCATTGGGGGCTTGTCTCATATACCGTTCACGCATGCAAATAATTGCTTGTAATACCTTGATAAAATATCTACTAACTGTCTCCCTTGATCTTATAAAATGAGATCTGACAATCCTATTTTTAGATTTATGACCAAGAATGTTCAGTGTCATGATAAGTTGTTCTTCAACTGTTACATTCCTTGAGTCTTTTAGCAGACTATTGTTCCTCATTATAGTCACTAGTTTAACAAAAGAACCACTCCGCATTCTAATATAATTCACACAACTCTCACTAAAACCATTATAAATTCAATCTATGTGCTCAATTCTAGCTCTCTCTTGTCCTTTTTTTTCCTTACTTGGACCACTACGAATTGATTTACGTCTTGCTTGCATTCTCCTTATAACAGTTATAATTATAATCAACATGGATAGAGCAGCACCTTGAACCATATTAACAACACTTTGTTCATTGGAAAAATCACCATCATTATCCATCTACGATGAAAAAAAATCATTTTTTTGGTTAGAAACTAAGTCAAATTCTTACAAAATCTGAACAAATTACAAATTACTAATTGTTTCCGTCGAAAGTTACCTTAGTCATTGATTTCATTAAACTTTAAGCGTTACAAATGAATTCAAATAACAAAAGAATAAAAGATTACAACTTTCTTAAAAATAAACACAAGATCCGTTTATCGGCTCTTACTTGCGTGGGTTCTTTGCCGGTGCCGGGGTTAATCCGTGGACGAC